GCTGCGGGTTCCGTCCCCACCACCTCCCCCCTGGCGCCGCCCTCGCACTGCCCAGCCCAGCAGCACCCTCCCCAGGAGGAAAAAAGCCAACCAGCAACACCAGCTGTTTGAAGGAACAACTTTTTTTTTTTAATAAAGTGTACAAAGTAGTAAAACTCCTTGCGCGAGGTGCTGTGACGGCCATTACAGAGATGATTCGGGCTCCCCCGCGGGCTCGTGGTGAAACGCCAACGAGCGCTGGGTGGGGACGAAGGACGTGAACAGGACACGGACCCGCCTGCCCCCACCAGCCCCCGGCCGCGTGGTTCCCGCTGCCCTGCACCACGACATCCCCACGCGTCCAACACGACTGACACACCGACCCGAGCGACCTGTCTGAGCAGCATGCACACAGAGAGAGGAGGGAGAACACAACCCAACCGAACCCACGACGACAACAACAGAAGTTAAGGCTATGCAGAAAACAAAATGAAGCAATATCTTTAAAGCTAGGTAGCAAGTAGCATTTGTGAAACATAAGGCTTGAGGCTTATCGATTCTTCAGAACAGGTTTATTTGCTTTTCCTTCTTAAACACCAATATACCATTTTTCTTCCTTCGCTTGAACAGGGATTTTGTGTCCTCCTCGGCAGGACGTTTAGCTCAGGGAGGTTATGTTGGAGCGGCCTCCCGGGGGCGCGACGATGCGCTTGCTTGCGGAGCGAACACCTTCATCCACCTGGGTGCCTGGGGAGGATGAGAACGCACAAAGGGAAGGGGAAAGCGAAGTTAAGAGCGTTTTTTTCAGACTGAGTGGCCAGGCAGCCTGGGGTCTGCCCAAAGGGTCTCCCAAGACTGCAGCAACCTGTTCCCTCTCCAGCCCCAGCAACGACCCCGAGAGCGGCAGTGGCTGCAGTGTCTCTGCAGAGGCTCCTCCGTGAGCAGCCCCAGGCCACCAGAGTGGGTCTGGTGCTGCACGAGCACCCCCGTGGCCACAGGCCTCCCTGCTTCTGCTGCCAGGCGCAGCGGGGTGGAGGGCCAGCCGCGTCCTGCAAGGGACACACAGCATCTGGCCCTGCCACGCTCCGTTCTCGTGCTCAGCCGCCCCCCAACTCTCCTGGCCCAGCCACCGCGAGCGTTCACCTGACAGGCTGAATCCAGACTGATGGAGGTTCCTGACGGGGGGTGTCTGCCGCGTGGGGGACCCCCTGGTTGACCCCGCGGGTGTCCCCCCCTTGGGGGTGGTGGTCAGGTCGAACACGGGTCCGTCGTACATGCCCCGGGGCACGGCGTGCATCTCGGCCATCTGTCACCGGAGAGGGGGGGCAGTGACACTGCTCTGCTCTGGGGGAGCCTCGTGCTCAGCCCCCGCCTCCCCCGTCCCCTCATTTTTAACTCGGGGCTTCCCTCCACGCCCCTGCAGCAGCAGGACAGCGAGGGGTGGGCATCGCCCGGTGACCATCTGCCTCCAGTGGTGGCCCAGCACCAACCCTAAGGGCAAAGCTCCACCCAAGCCCTGACTGCCCCAACTGTGGGTTCAAGCACAGTTTGCAGCGCTGTTCTCAGGGTCCAGCGGGAGCAGCAGAGAAAAAACAATCAGTTGTTGGGGGGAAAGGGCGATCTGGGCTTGCAGTGCCCCAGCGCTGTCTCCTAGCACCCTGGCCTCCTCACCTTCCTCCGGGCTTTGATGCGCTTGTAGACGTAGTCAGGGAAAGGGCTGCTGGGCAGGAAGCGTCCCGTCCCCTGGGTCACGTGCAGGTTGCCATCCTCCAGCATGATCTTCCCCTGGCATATGACAACCAGTGGGGCCCCACGCAGCTCCATCCCTTCAAAGATGTTGTACTCGGCCACCTGCAGCAACCAGGGGACGACAGTCAGGAGGGGCAGGAGCACTGTCAGCCCCACACCTGGCTGCTGCCGTCACCAGTGCAGCAAGAGGAGGACTCCAACAGCCCCAGAGGCCGCTCTCAGTGAACTCCATCACACCAGAGCTCCCAGCACGAACCAGAACCTGCTGCTTCGGAGCTCTCCGTGAGCAGGGACTCCAACAACAGAGGAGGGTGGGACCGAGCACACTGGCAAAGCCAGAAAACATTTGTACCTGGAGGAGCCCAGGTAAGGAGAAATGCGAGTCCTGACACCTTCACAGGCCCGTCTCAGGAGAAAAGCAATGGAGAAGGGTGGAAAAAGCCCCGTGTGCAGAGCCCAGGGCTCGCGGACATCCCGCCCCACAGCCACAACTGGCATCTCCCCATGCCTGCACCCACTCCCCCCTCCTCAGAGCCCCCAGCACTCCCACGGATGGGCAGAGCCTTACAGACTGATGGGTTTTTGCTGTGACGATCTTCACGGCATCGGGATCCCATATAACCAGGTCACTGTCCGAGCCCACTGCTATTCTCCCCTTCCGTGGGTACAGGTTGAAGATTTTTGCAGCATTAGTGCTTGTCACAGCCACAAACTGGTTTTCATCCATCTTCCCTGTGGCCTGTTCAGACACAAAGAGAACCAAGTGCTCTTTTGGGGAATGGGAGAGTAAGAGCCCCAGGGACCACCAGACTCATTCCCACAGAAGCCACTGGCTGGGCCCAGGTCGCTGCGGCCAGTCTTACTGGTGCCAAACAGACCCAGAACTGGGGGCACAGTCACAGCTCCTGCTGCTCACCCTGAACCCGCGGCAGCTGCCTCTCCTGCTCTGGCTTGTTTTGACTCCCAAAGCCAGAGAGCAGCCGGGTGCCCAGCTCTGCAGGGCAAGGACCCGGGAGCCCGTCAGCCCCGCCCGCTCCGCCCTGCCCTGGTGTCTCTTACCACGGCCTTGTCCCAGATGACAGACATCCGCTCCTCTATGCCGTTGGTCCCTTCTGGGATGGCTGTGAAGTTGTCCTTCCCAATCGCTTTCTGTGCAGTGCTGAACGTGCAGTGGGCACTTCCCGAAACCTGCAGGTCACCACTGAGCGGGGGAACAAAAGCGTCAGTTGTCTCACAGTCAGACAACAGCAGGGGCACACGGATCTCCTCTGGGCACAGGCAGCCCCTGGCTCAGTTCTGGTTTACTCTGTCCCCTCATTTCTACAGCCCCTCAGCCTGAAGACCAGCCCCTGTGGTGCTCACCCGGGGGCACAGGGACAAGAGCTCTGCCACACTGCGCTGCCCACCCGGGGCACAGACAGCAGCCGTGCGCAAGAGGAGTCAACAGCTCCGGTCCCAGGGAACAGGCTGGCCTTTGTGTCAAGGCGAAAGACGTTCTTCCATACCAGAGTTCATCACCTGAACTGACAGGTTAAAAAACATCCCAGTGTGAGTCAGAAAAAACATTTCTGGCAGTTTGTCAGGTCTGCCTGGGAGGGCAGCACTTCTGCCCCATGGGGAGGAAAAGGCCTCTCCACCCGAGGACTGTCACGGAATCACAGAACCACCTCGGTTGGAAAAGCCCTTGCAGCTCCTCCAGCCCAACTATGACCCTCACCCAACTCCCCCAGACCCCTCAGCGCTGGCTCAGCCCGACTCTTCAACCCCTCCAGGGATCCCGGGGACTCCCCCCTGCCCTGGGCAGCCCATTCCAACGCCCAACAGCCCCTTCTGCACAGAAATCCTTCCTCAGAGCCAGCCTGACCCTGCCCTGGGCAGCTTGAGGCCATTCCCTCGGGGCCTGGCACTTGGTCCCTGTCCCCAGAGCCAGCGCCGTGGTTGTGTCCTGCCAGCCCTTGCAGCCACGCGCAGCCCCCCCCGGCCCCACGGGAATCTCCCTGTCTCTGGGAGTGGGGACGTGGCTGCAGGAGGGGGTTTGGGGGGGCTGAGCTCACCGAAGGCTCCTCTCAGCCCCACGGACACTCACAGCAGCCAGCAGCACAGACCAAGGTGTGCTTGTGAGCACAGGCTGGCCCAAGCTGCAGCATCCCTGCCACACTGACAGCGGGATGGGGAGGGCCAGGACTCCCCAGAAGCTGCTCTCTCCAGGAGGCCCAGAAAAGCTCCACTGCAGCACCCTGCAGCAGCTGCTGCCCCCCACCATTGCCCCGAGCCCTCTGCCCCGAGGCACCCCGCTCCTGACAGCGATGGCAAAGGGGAGGACGGGCAGAGCTGGTGAGCGACAGGTCAGGCAGGGCGAGGAGCTGCCCATGGCTCCCTGGGTGGCTGCTGCTGGGCCCTCGGGGAGCAGCCGACAGCAGCAGCTGGGAAGTCATCGCTGCGGGGTGAAGGCAGCAGAGGAACACAGGCCAGCTCCGGCGCCCTCCCGTGAGGCAAGTGGCCTCAGCCCCCCACTCCCAGACCGGCTGCGCCTGGGCCCCGGGTGGTGCAGACACAGCGGCTCTGCTCAGGGCTGCGAATCAGCCCTAATCCACTGGTAATCTCCACCTTCCTCTGATAATTTCTGCCATATGTCTGCCCGACTGCACGGCCAGAGGCCCAGGCTGATGACACAGCGTGATTCCTAATCTCCACCAGATCATCCCGGTGGAAGAAAATCCATCCAGCCCAGCTGGAGTCTCGCAGCCTCCCCTCCTGCTGAAGCCTCCCAGAAAATAGCATGGGAGAGGTGCCAGGACAGATGCCTGTCAGCTGCAGGGACTCAGAAGCGCTCTTGCCTCTGCTTTGAGGTCTGGGGTAAATCTGAAGTGGAAGGGAAGGATTAGAAAGCCAGTTCAGGAGCTGGGCTCACCTCTCCCTGGCAGTTCCCTAAGACCTGCACCTATTCCATACATCCAGACTGAGAAGAGGCATCTCTCGCTCCCTGACCACAGCAAAATCCAGGGTGAGCTGCATATTCAGACCCCAAATGTACTGGCACCTCTTAATGCCACCACAGCAGCTCCACCCTGGCACAACCCAGGTTTATCCTAAGGCGTCCCTCTGCCCCAACACCTCTCACTGACCAGCCATCCCTTGGTCATCCAGTCCAAAATGTTTCCAGCATTACCTCAAAGGTCATTTCCATTTACAGCCCCTCAGTGTCAGCCATCCCCTGGCTAACACAGACCAGCCCCCACAGGCACAGTTCGATGTACAAGCGGAGGGCGAGGGGGGCATGCGAGCGACACGCGGCGCGGGGACAGGCCAGCAGCGAGCTCTGTCCCCCGCGGCCGCGCGTGCCTTGCCAGTGACAGGATGGAGCATATCTGTGAAAGGTCAAAGCAAATTGCTGAAATGCTTTTATTGTTTGCTCTGTTTTCAATAAATCCCTTCCCCACCCCCTTGCCTTCAGCATGAAAACACGACCTACCATCCCTGTCAATCGTGCACGGGCTGCTCTTAGAGCCTCCTGCCTCTGTGCCGCTGCTCACCTGCACCGGTGTGAGAAAACAACTGCTTTGTGTTTGACCAGCAGCCCCACCGGCCCTTCCACCTTCTGCACCATCACACCCAGGCAGCCACCTCCCACCCCGCGCGTGCCGAACGGCCTCTCCGGCTTGGTGACTGCTTTCGCTGACACATCTGTGTTAGCTGGTCCTTGTTTCTTGGTCTTCTTCAGGGCATTTTAAACTGCCCTGGTATTTTTCTCACTACTGACATCAAGCACACAGTGCTGCCCCTGCCCTCTCTCTGCTCTTCGGGGTCAGCCACCACGGCTCCAGGTCAGAGCCACTTTGCCCGGCTCATTAAACACCGACAGCGAAGAGGTTCCAGTTGGACTAACGCCCGCGCTGCCAGGTACTCCCTCACCTCTTCCTTCCCCCTCCGAGGCTGCATCCACCTCCCACTGGCAGCATCGCCCAGCAGAGCTCACTCACCTGGCCAGGAGGGAGTTGATGTAGTCAGGAGTTGTTGGGTCTGGACTCAGTGGTGGAGAGACCACAAAAGCTGCAGCCTTGGCCCAGTTCTTGCTCCAGTAGTGCGTCCCGTCGGTCCCCAGACTGGCCGTGATGGGCTCACCGAATACCACGTTGCCTGGAAAGGGGGCAGAGGACGCTGTTTGGGTCGAGCCAGGAGGTGTTCTCTGCTCCACAGCACTACCAGCAGCCTGCCGTGCCCAGAGGACACCCAGACCCACATCGGGCTGTCCCACGCGGCCACAGAGCCCTCCTGCCGCAGGGCACAGACCCTGCAGGCGCAGCACGCCCGGCCGCGGAGCTGCGTTCCCCAGAAGGCACCAGAGAGGGACGAAGGGCGCTGGCAAGCTGCCCTCCTGCCCTCGAGATGGCACTGCCCGGCCTGCCCTGGCCACGCTCCGGGGACCGGCCAGGGCAGACGGCACCAAGGGCTTTTTGCAGAGCAGGACTTATCATGCTGATGAATGAGGATGGGCACTGAGAAACTGCTTTTCTCTCCAAGCATGCTCTACAGCCCGGGCAAGTGCTTCTGGGAGACACTTGCTATGTCCCACAGTCACCACCTCCACCAAGATCTGCTCTACAAACGCATTTTTTTACATTTCCATCCCCACTCTTTTTATAGAGGCTGAAGATCCTCAGAGTCTTACTAACACTCGGCTAAAAATTTAGTTCTCCCTGCCCAAAGGCAAAACAACCGGGAGGACACGGGGGCTACTTCACCCAGCGGCGACCGTGGGGCTGCTGCTGTGGCAGCTGCCACTCACCCTTTTTTCTGGCTTGTGAGATGAGGTCAGCAGCACTTTTGCTCATCACTTTAGTCACGTAGAGAGGACAGTTGGTCTGGCTGGCGATGGTGATGGCCCGGAAGACAGCTTCTGCTTCCAGCTGGAAGAGAGGATGGTGCCCGGCTGCAGAGGAGCACTGGGTGGGCCGGGGGAGCCCCGCTCCTCTCGGCACAGCACAGACTGCCGCTGACACCCTGGGCCCTCGCTCTTACCCCTGGCTCCCCGGGCACAGGTTAATCAGGGACACCTGGGGGAGCACTGCCTGGAGCGTGCTCTGGGGCCAGCGCGGAGCTGCATCTGCTGGTTTCTCCAGTGCCTGGTTCCAGCTCTCCCGGCAGCCAGAGAAGCCCGGGGCTGAGAGCGAGGGTCTGTCCCCCAGAGCCCTCCCTGCTCCGGGCTCTCCTGCGGCTGCGCCTGGTTTAACCGAAGGTCGCCCTGCCCGTGGCTGTCCCAGGCTCTGACCCCGGCTCCGACGCCGCCCCACCTCGCGCTGCCCCTCACTCGGCCCAGGGCGCATTTCCAGCACCAGGGATATCTTTGGACTATGACATCAGCCCGTGCTCAGCCTGAGCTCAACCCCAGAGGTTCTCCAAGTGTTTGCTCTACAGTTTGGCTTCAAGCTTCGGCATGAGGAAGTTCAGAACAGAAGCCTTAAAAAGACAATGTGCGGGCCGGCAGGTCCCGGGGGAGCCGGGCCGCAGGGAGCGCAGGAGCTGCCGCAGCAGGAGCAGCACAACACTGCACCCAGGCATACACGCACCCCTGCACCTCCTGTGCTTCTGCAGGCCTGTGTCCTGCACAGTGGAAGAGGTTTTTCTCTTCTGCTTGAAGATTCTTTAACAGAAACTTACACCAGAAAATGTTTTTCTCAGCCACTTCTGGGCCTGAGGAGTTGATGGTGTGTAACACGTGTGTGGGAGCAGAGCCACCACTGAATGCCCTCACGGCAGGTCACAGTCTGGAGCAGTACCATCCTGCCCTACCAAATCACCATCACCTGACAGAAGAGCCTGCCTTCAACCCGCACAGAGGTTCCTCTGGGACAGAGCAGAACCACAGAGCCAGGGACCACTCTCCCAGAGCTTTCTGGCAGGTAGCAGGGTCACGTGTGCTCTGACATCTTCCCAGGTAGAGCATGCCCTGGAAGAGGGACCCTGGTTATTGTCAAAGGCAACGAGATCTGGATTTGGCTGGATGGGCGATATCTAGAGCCTTCTTGCACTGTTCTCAGTTCCCTTATGCTTTAATGGCATTTCAGGATCAAACACTCAACAATATGTTACCGGCTTTGGATGAGAAGAACCACAAGTGCTGTCTTATGACAATAGGACAGTTCTCAAATCCTGGCACAACCACAGCATCCTATAACCACGGGTTAGCTTGCCAGCTAGTGGCAATGGGTCTAGAGCCATAAAAATAAATGGTAGTTTACACACAGAGGGACTCTTATCTACTGTATTTGACACTGAGTCTCTTCCCTGCACAGGAAAGTTCTCTACACTCTCACACTTCAAAGGGAATAAGTGCTGTACCACACAAGGCTGTATGTGTTACCAGCCACCATACAGCCAACTTCTTACACTTCCAATTTAAGCCAACCGACTTTACTACCAGCAGACCCTGAAGTACAAATCTGTCCCTGTGCTCCCCTGCTCAGCTTTGCTATTGTACCGAATCCCTATTGTTTTCTTATTTCACGTGCTGTGGAAAGTTAAAGGCACCTCTCAGCAGGGAACTATTGCAAGAAAACCCGTCTCAAGTTAGATTCAACTCAGATTAATGGACCAAACAGAAAAATACCATGTGAGCTAAAATTAGAAATAATCTAATTAGTGTCCTGACAATGATTTGTATCCAGGGAATTCCCCCTCTCCTTCCCTCCCACTCCCTCCACCAATGGCTTTGTCTGGCTGATTTTGAAACACACTTTAGACCCTAAGCAGAGATCGAGCAGGAAGAAGCTGGAATCTGTCTGCACTCAGATGTGAACAGTGAATTTTCAGAGGAACTAAAACTCACCATTCGGTTCTTCTCAGGCCTCTCACACCCATGGAGTCACCTATACAAGACAAACACCCCCAAGCAGCCCCAGATGCTGCTACAGCCACATCCACCTTTCTGTTGGCTGACTGATCTCTGAGTCTCAGGAGCCTGGCCTGTGCGAGGAGACTCCAGCAAGATTGGAAAATGCTTGTCACAAACCTGTACCTCGCTCCTTCCTGAGCTGATGATGAACAAGAGAGCATTGCCTGTGTAAATGAATACACCCCACACACCCCCCTCTCCCCAAGGCTTGCTTGGCCCCACTACGTACGCTAAGCCCTGCTGTGAGCTGTGGGGAAAGCTCTCCAGTGCAGCAAGGCTGTACCATCCGTTGTGCCTTACCTCCTCAGGTCTGCTCAGCACGTGGCCCTCCGGGCCGGTTATTCCCATCTCCAACATCCTGCTTTGCTCCTAGGACAGCGGAAGGACAGAGGGATGTTACAAGACTCTGAAACCATCACCCACACAGAAAAGCAGAACCCTCCTGTGTCGAGCCCTTCCCTCGGGGCTGCCACCACCCTGTGACCTGTGGGACCACCATGCATGGTGAGACCCTGCTGCATCCTCAAGGGCTTTGAGAGGGAGGATGGGGAAACAGGAGGGCTCGGAGGGAGCACAGACACTGACTGAAACCTCTTTGCTAAACCAAGCACCTCTGAAGTAGAGGTAAACTCTAGCAAATACAATTCCTCTGATCACTCCTTATTTTCATGTGAAAGAGCCATCCAATTGTGCACTGCAGCTCTAAAAAGTCCAAAGAAAAACTGATTTTGTAATCTGAGAGGATGTTTGAAGAATGACCCCTTAGCTTACACTCCTTCAACTCCCAACAATATGAGACAGGAAAAAACAAGTAGTTGCAGAGCATAACTGAGCAATGTCTTCTCTGTCTTAATGAAAATCCAAACATTTGGACCTTTGCTCACCCAGCAATTACAACACAGCAGGCCGATACAGACGACCCACTCAAACACCAAACCACATTCCTCATAACAATTCCCTTCCAAATCCAGCTCCATTACCCAGCTGCCTGCTTACAGCAGGGAGAAAATTCCTCTCTTGCCATGGCACTTTTCAACACACTTTAACTCTCTTAGCTGATTACTTGCAAGGCAAACATCTGTCTCTCCACACTGAAAAGGAGCTGCGATTGGAGTGAATGTACCGTACTGGACGGCCCGGCCTCTTCCATTTAGATAATTGCTAATCCACTATTTCAGATTCGCTTATGCACCACATGTTCACAGCAGAAAACCTCGGTAAATTTGATAGCGCTGCAGAGCAGCACAGACATCACCTTACAAAAGATGTCCATGCAGCTCTGGAGTCATTTTGCCAATGCCCCACGCTGAATCTGCCCAGGATAGATTTTCAGCCCCTGCACACCAGAAGAGCAGTCACTTACCTGTGCAATTATATCACCGTTTTCAGCATGAACTTGAGCTATGGCACCCAGCTCCGCCAGGCAGCTGAAGATCTCATACAGCTGAAACAGAGACAAGAAAAAAATTATTACTGGGCAGTGGGGCAGAGGAGAGGAGCCCGAGGCCCGGGGGGCGCTGCTGGCCACCCCAGCCTCCCTGCACCCAGCGTGGCTGCTGTCCCCCTGCCGCCCCGCTCCTGACACAGCCAAGGCGGCAAAGGGGATCTCACCTCAGTGTTCGACATCTGGTACAGATCCTTGTAGGCCATGTACACCATGAAGGAGTTAACTCCTGGGGCAGAGCAGAGAGGAGAGAGGGGTGAGCCCGGGCTCTCCCTGCCGGGTCAGGCTGCCTGCTCTGGGCCGCCTTGGGACCGACAGCGAGAGGACGGACGACAGCGTGGTCACCCCTCGCCCTCCATGGCCAGGGAGCGCGGCTCGCCCAGGGTGGGCAGCAAACCTTTCTCCTGGACCATGGTGTGCAGCTCCTGGCGCACGCGGTCACTCCAGCGTGGGATGTCCACGTGCAGCGCGTAGTCACAGCAGGCCTTCCCGTCTGCCCACTCCCGCCACCGCTCCAGCGCCTCCACCAGCCCGCACTCAGGCTCCGGCACCACATGGTCCACTGCAGAGGCACCGGGGGGCACAGGGTGGGCAAGGGCTCCCCACACGTCCCCCACACTGCCAGACACCTCCGCCATCCCAGGCTTGGCTCCTCAGCAGCTTCAGGGCCACTCCGAAGAGGTGCCCATCACCTCTGCCATGTGCCTGGGCTCCTCTAAGTGCATTTATCGGCAGGGAAGCACACAGAGCCTTTGCTTAACAGCCTTTGGCACGGGACCAGGGGCTTTTACAGGCCTCTGCTGAGAAATCAGCTGAAGGGCCTTGTCCCTCCTCACCCCACTTCCATCCCATTAGCACATAGCCTCCTCCCACACTGCAATACCAATGCACTTTTTATTGCCCACCACATAATCCCCATGCTCTGCCGCAGCCCATTTCACACATCTTACATTTTTTGGCCCATGGGGAAGGAGAACTGGTGGGAGGAGGACAAGAAAGCCCATCGTTTACTGGAAGGATCAAAAGTTGCTCCCACATCCCAAGAAACCCTGCTGTGCACACAGCTGTGACCACTGCAAGCAGTAAAATCTGGACCCCAAACCAGTGCACAGCCGTGGCCTTCTCCAGGGGAGGACCTCAGAATTCCCTTTCCTTTTTCGTTAGCACTGTTTATTTCCAAGCAGTGTGGGATGCCAGGGCACTGCTCTGTTCCTCTGCTCAGAGCCATCTGAGCATCGTGCTGCCCTATTTTTATTTAACAGGGAAAAAAAGTTATGCCATTGTTCCTTTTTGAGGGTGCAGTGGCTGCAGAACATGGGGTCTGCACAGGCAAGGGGTCCTCTGCAAATCTCCTGCACCCCACTTCGTTATTACCAAGGAGCCCAAAGATTCACCCCAATCCCCACTCTCTAGACTGCATTGACAGAGATCACAGGAAAGGTGAGCACACTCATGGATATTCAAAACAAAGACGACTGATAAAAGCGAAGAGGAAAAGAAGTAACTGGGTGATGTTCCAAGAGTGCGGGGGGCTGCCATGTACAGGACCCGCCCGCTGCACTCACTGATCATGGTGGTTCCGCCGGCCAGGGCTGCTTTCGTTCCTTGGAAGAAATCATCCACAGCTGTCATCCCCTTGTACGGCATCTGCAGGCGAGTGTGGACATCGATTCCTCCCGGGATCACCATCTTCCCATTGGCTTCTATGGTTTTGACCCCTCCAGGGACAATCAGATTGTCTCCAATCTGCCTGAGGAGATCGTTCCAAGGTGGTGAGCCACGCGCAGAGGAGGGGCAGCCGCCACCTCATCACTACGCAGCTCAGCCAGGAGGCAGCCAGGTCCACTCCCCGCGCTGACAGAAATGCCCCCGCTCCTCCCCGCTCCTGCGCCGGGGCTGCGGGAGTGAAACCACCTCACTGCAGCAAAACGCACGACGGCCTGGCCTGCTTAAACCTACAGTTTGCACAGACCAGGGGCAGCTGCCCTCCGTCCCACAGCTCTCGGGGTGTCCGTGGTGGCACCTGCCGCCGGGGCCGGCCCTGGGCTGGGGCAGCTGGGACCCACAGGCCTGCAGGTCTCTGCAGCCTACGGCGAGAAGCTGCCTCGAACACTTCGTACCCGCAGGCGCATGAGCCAGGCTCCTGCAAGCGTCTCCAGCGCAGCAGCCCCGCCTGCCCACCCAGGGGCATGTTCACAAAACCCAACACCAGCCCTGCTTCCAGCAAGCTGCACCCCCAGTCTCTCCTCTCCCCATCCTTCTGCCCACCTTCAGTAAGGCTCAAGTCTGAGGTTACGTACAGAGGAAGATGATTTCCCACCGTAATGCCACAGCTGCACGGTCAGCCCGGGGCTCATTGAGGACTTGTAATGCTGCTCACAGCACAGTCACCAGAGCAAAGGGGAGCTCCGCTGGGGAGCTGGGGAGGGGCTCACAAAGCACATGGGGTGGTGGGCTGCAGCCCCGATGGGCTCAGTCTCTTCCCAAGGAGCACAGAGTCGAGCCCTCCCCAGGACCTCCCCTCTCACACCGTCTCCTCCTGCCCCTGAAGGACATCTTTGCTATCAGCAGGGCCCCGCTCTAGTGAAGGCAGCTAAAACCTCAAGTACCTAAAAATAACTGCTGAAAACAGGAAACTTAAAGAGTTCCAGGATACATCTACTCATAACCTAAAATACCATTACAGTCCTCTGGAGTCCGTGCTGTTCTAACACATGACATTCTCCACCCTAGACATTCCCAGCTCTCGGGCAGGCCAGGCCACCTGAACATCAGGACTCCCTTCAGTCAGCCCCCTGCCCCTCAATCCCTTTATCTGTCCATATGTAGCACTCAGCCTTCAAATCTCTTCTTTCAGAAATCCTATTTTCATCAAGCCTTCCTCAGACTTCCCTGATAAATCAAGATAAAAGACAAGTTGGTTTTAGCAGAAAACTTCTGATTTCCTTGGCACACTGGGGAGGTAAATGAGGAGCAAATTCCACTTTTGTATTTCATTCAACCTTAATCACTTTGCAGGTTTTTTTCCTTAGTTTAACAAAAGTTCTCTGGACTGAACTGCTCACTCCAGTGTTCCCACAGCAATAAACCAGCAGCTCTTTTCAGGGCTTTTATTGAGATGAATCCATCACCAAAGGATTTAAACTGCTCACTGTATTCTTACCGGAATTCACTTCTGAGAGCACTTCACTTCCAAGGCAATAAAATTCTGTGACCTCCAGGCTGCAGATGAGGCTAAGGGATTTGCCCAAGGATACCTAGAAAGTCTGTCACAGCAAGACCTGAGGCTGGCTCTGACCCTTGCCTGGGTACTAGTCAATCACCAATGCTCTTGCCCACCAGCTAAAAACAGCCTCATGAAAATACAGTCCCACTTCTTGGAGTATTTATCTGCTGCTGGATTTTTAAAATATACCATCCTGGGAAGGCTGGGTATCTTCCTCTTACCACAGAGCAAGCAGTGCCTTTTCAAGTCTCTCTGCTATAAACTGTCATGGTTCTTTCAATACAGCCAGCTTGGAGCTGATCCCAGCATGATACATCTGCCATGTTGGAACTGCAGCCTTTAAATAACTGAGTTATTACTGCACCTCTGACACAGACACACGAAGCAGCTGGGGGGACACAGAGGTTTGCCTGCAATTCCTGAAAATCTCAAGCATGCAGGTGACCTGCAGCACAGCACTGTCCTTGTTAGTGCTAACAGGGTCTAGTGTGGGGTCATTCACGTTAATGCTGTTAACACGGGGCAAAACAGGAGTCAGAGATAAATCTTGTTGCTGGTGCCGTTAGATGCAGCTCTGCTGGACAACGGATGCTGTACCACGAAGTCACCAGCCCAACTGCAGTTCCGTCACTGGAGCTACTCCATAAACACATCAGACAATCCCACAGGGGCTCACACGCTGCAGAGCTGAGCCTCTAACAGGGTGGGCTATCAACTTTTACTGGCTGGCAAGTTGGGTACAGACCACACCCACAAAAGTCAACAACCACCCAACCTGGAGATGGGGAGATGGAGGTAAAGAAGTCCCATACTTACTTTATGAGGCCATCCTCCATGTAAATGTCAGCATAGAATGACTGGTCATCGTTGACTATTCTCCCTCCCTTAATAAGGAGACGATCACTCTGTGAAGGGAAGGACATAGCTGTCAGCAGCTGACACCCACACCAGCGCAGTGCCCTCCTGGGTGCTCTCCCACTGCACCAGACAGCTCACCGATGCCGCAGAGTGCCCATCCGTACCCACACTCGAAACAGTGGGACAAGAGCAAGGACTGAAAAAACTCATAGGGCTGTCTCTGAATGGAACAGGCGCTGCCAGAAACACCACTGAGGCAGAATGAGTACAAAGGAGAGTCACTGGGACACAGCAAACCTGCCTGCTTAAAATATACAGAGAAGTCAAAAGCTCCCTCCACCAGGTCCTTACGCACACAAATCTGCAGGCAGCACAAGCCACACACCAGCATTCAGAGCGAGCTTGTTACTAAGGGCACATCCTTAAATCTTATCCAAATATCATGCAAAATAGGTTGTGTTAAAGAAGACAATATATACCGCTCTCATCTGTTACCGCCTTGCAGACCACCAACAGGACAGGCAGCCCTGAAGATGACGCATCTGCTGCTGGAGTCTGTCCCTCCCCTGCAGTGCCCGGGGTAGTTCCGAGGCATTTCTCAGTGCCACAGGTCTACACAAGACCCAGGAGGTACTGAACTGCCTTCCTGCCTCCACATTTACCACCTCCTCTGTTCTCCTTTCTACTGACCCAAGCAGCCAGCAGCCTCCTCCACGGGGGCGCAGCTGGGCAGCGGAGGAGCACCCAGACCAGGACTGCTCTCACCTCGTCCTGTGTTCACGCTTTTGGACCTGGGCAAGCCCACACAGACACTGTCCTGCGCGGGGAACAGCCCTTGTCCTGAGGAACTGGGATGGCTGAGGTCCTGCTCTTCTGCCTCCACCTGTGCAAGCCCAGGCACCAGCTGCAGGCAGTAGAGGGGCAAACAGCCCCACCTTGCACACGGCTGCCATGCATCCGGGTGACATAAGCTGACTGTGCTGCTCCAAAAATATACAGTCCTCCCGACGGCTTGAAACGCCTCCAACAACCCTCCATCTCTCAGGCTCCCCTTACTCTTCTCTGCTCACCCTGGTGCCCACAGCCCAGGTTTTGGTGTGCGAATGCACCCCCCTTCCCCGGCCTGAGCCTGGCCCACGGCTGACTGGAGCCTTCAGCAGGGCTCATGCGCCAGCCTCACCCCGTGAGGCTCCTGCACAATTAATTCCTCCACAGGGAACTGGGTTTGTTCTTCATCTGCCACCCCTGGGGCGATTTCTGGAAGTATCACCACAGCAGTGGTAATTTGCTGCTTCCTCCCTGGCAACAGAAGGATGGGAGAGAACCCCCCCGTGTCCCTGCAGCTCGCAGCCACCAAAGCCCCAAGACCTGTGTGCGTTTTTACAGCAATCTCATCTCACACGCAGTCGAGACAAAGAAACTGGGTGGGGAAAGGATCAGACTGCACAGCGCTCTCAACCCTGGCTGCAGCTCGGCGCTGGCGCAGGGGGAAGAGCCGCCGTCTCCCCTCACTTCCCAGGCCGTACAACCCCAGCAAGGGGGACTGACCTTCGCCCCTCAGCACAGCCTAACGCCGACCAGGAGCCTTGACTCCCACCAGGAAAAGCGCATGGCTGAGCTGCTCCCCTGCTCCATCCCACCCACCGTCCTCCCCGACATCAGACCTGGAGCCAGGTCCCCTTCTCCAACGCGTCGGTGCAGAGGTCCAGCAGAACTCTGCTGGCTAAGTGGGGGTCTGGAGGCCAAGGCACGTTGCGGGTCACAGACTGCCCTGCACAGCTCCTTTGAACTGTGGCTTTAACAGATCACAACCTGCATGTGAAGCTACCGGCCTTGACTAGCGACACAGGGGCCACTGACTAGTGACCTGGAGGGCCAGTGCCACCTCCCACTTGCAGCTCTTTTCCTCAGGTACAGCGAGGCAGGACAGCCACGTGCGTGCTGGCCCAGGCGTCCCAGGTTCTCAGGCCGGGCACAGGCCAGAGGATGCTCCGCGTCGGGGCTGAGGGCCCCAGCACAAACAAATGCTGTTGATGAGCCACTGGCCCTCCTCCTCCCCCAGCACAGGGCACTCATCCTTCCTCTTGGTCTATCCAATATTCATGTCACTAACAATACCACAATTTTAAGTTCAGAAGCCCCTAAAAGAGCAAAGTTGCTTATAGCCTGTCAGTACTGGGGGCAAGCAGCTGAGCCATGGCTCCCATAGATGCAGATGTTGAGTATTTAAGCAACAGTACAAGAAATGTGGATAAAAACTACCAAGCAACAGTATCAGGCATCAGCTATGGAAGAATCAGGGCCACAGTCTGAAACAGAGGGAAGAATATTCTTGTTTTATATTTCAGTCAACTGCACATAGTTAACCCATCCCCTATGCCCTGGCAGACCCTCCTAGGCTTTACCTTACTTACACAATGAGAAAAAAAGAGTCTGCCTGCCCAGATCCAGTAACACAATTGGGACTCCATTTTCCTGTCTTTCCCACACCCTTTAAATCTCCCCAACCTGCTTTCCCAAAGGTCCTGGCGTTTGTTCTCACTAGAGCGTGGGAGCACCAGCAAACACTGATGCTAGCCTGCCCGCCCCGTGCATCGGACGAGGGAAAGCAAAGGGAGACGGGCGCGGGCAGCACAGGGGTAGGGGACTGCAGCACTTGACAATTATTGAATAAACTGTTAATATGAACTCAGAAAATATGCCTGTCCACAAACATAAATGGTCATTCTGTGGCAGATGTGAAGGGCTGCTCAGTGCTAAGTCTGTTAGTGCACAAAATCATGAGGTCCACAATGGCTGGAGCATGAACAAGGCGTTCGTTCATTCAGGGGACCGGGCACTGCCTCGGGGCCTGCCCCGAGCCCGCCTGCCAGACACCCCCTGTGCCCGCCGGAGAGGGGGGGACTGCATCGGCGCCTATCCACCAGCTACGAGATAAAAAAATAATAAATAAGTAAAATCCAAATGACACCACATCTACAGGCTCTGGCATCATTCAGGAGTGCACCCAGACATTAAAAGGAGCAAGAAAGGAAGAGAATGAGGCAGTTACGAGGAAACAAGTCTGACTTAATAGGCTTCTGCTGCACACGCTGCCAGAGCAGCCTCAGATTACAATAAATGCACTGTTCCCCCTGCCAGGGCTCGTTTGTGCGTCTCCACACCCACCACGTCTCCCCGCCAGCCAGTGTCGGGCTGTGTCATCAGCCATTGTTGGCACACGGAAAAACCCTCCTGCGGCTGGAGCGGCGGAGGCAGGGCTGGGAGCACCTTCCCTCGTGCCACGGGACAGGGCGAGCGTGCCCAGGGAAGGTGCTCCCTGCCCTGCGGAAGGTGCCCCGCAGAGCGGGGCTGGGCACAGCTCTCCCGGCGGCTGGCACTGACTTGCCGGGCTCGCCGGCCCTGGCCCCACCTCGGACTGTGTCTCGGGGAGTCTCGGTGCCCGCAGCGACAGCCTGTTCATCACCGGTGCGGTGCCTCTCGCAGCACCATCGCTGCAGGCACAGGCAGCCTGGCAGCACCTTCCAGCACAGCTTTGCCAAAACAGCCTTCACCGCCCTTGCCCGGCCCAGGAGCCTTTTTGCTGAACACTCCCCGTTTCCCACCTGTTGGCACTTGGGGTCAAGCTTCCAAAACCATTACCCGTTCCCTCATGGCCACACTCTGCTCCCGATGCTCTAAAGCATCATCCTGTCACCTGAGATCCCGGAATAGCAGGGGGTCTTTTAACATCCCTCAGCGTGATGCTGCAGAGAAAGAGGCAGCAGCTTCCAGAATGCTGCTGAACCCAGCCAAGAACAGTGCTCACCTTGTTAACAAAGCACAAGGGCATAATTAGGGTAGCATGGGAGCAGGTGTATGGCTTTACTGCTCTCTCCCTCATGAAAGAAGAGACACTAATTGCAATGGTGTTTCATCAGTACCTGGATGTCTCCTTACTAATGTACCACACGACAGCAGGGAAGAACCCCTGGCTGGAGTCACCAGGATAGACACCAGCCCCCAGCTACACCCAGCACCTGCCCACAGCCTGCGGGCATGGCAAGAACCGCCAGACTGACAGCTGCCAATTTACCAAAACCTGTCTAATCTGTAGCTGAGGCTTTTCTCCCCACTCGCACCTGACACAACACAGCAGCTGTCCCCATACAGACTTCATTGTCTTTAGAGGTGTCAGAGACACACAGAGGTGGTGCTGGTGGGCTGCGACAGCATAGCCGAATGGGATGGGCATGGCCCACACCAAGAAAAAACATGAGAATTCCAGTCTACCTGGGATGGGAAAGGCTTTTGTGACCAAAGCACAAAGACTGGGTGATTTTGATTCAACCAACAGCTCTGCCAACAGTTAATTTGTGAAAGCGGGGCAAGGTATTTCACCACTTCAGTCTTCCACCTCTTTCTGCAGAACGGGAAAACATACTGTGGACAGCAGGAGGGGAAGTATTTTATCATATCTCCAAACAACCAAAGAAAAGGAACCAATAAAAAAATCTCTCAATAGACACACAAGGTTCAAAATTACTGTTCTTCTGAGCTGGGCATCACACCATCAGCACACATCTGGAAAGTAATACTACATTTACTGGTCTCTGATCCACTGTGCACAGCCTGTGAAGAGCAACACTTCCATACCAAGCTGATAAAGCAATCACTGAGAAAGCCAAAAGACTTGGTTAACCTCCCCATGTTTCCTCCACATTGCAACCAACAGACATGCCCACGCTTCCCAGTCCTCCCTCAGTGGCTGCGGTCTCACCTGTCACACATAACTTTTGATCAGGCTTTTATAATTCAGGTTGGGAATAATTCCCACAGCAATTCATCACACACAAACACACACACCCCTCACTCATGCTCCTGGCTTCTCCGCTAAAATGGCTGTCCTAGAAAAGACCAGAAATTGCTGCAAACAGATACAACAGGCAAACTGTGGCTTTTCAGACATTATTGTCAGAAACTAACTATGAATTCTGACTGCAGCACTGTTGAGCATGAGAGGAACCAAGAGGGAGTGTTTGTGCATCTCCAGAATCACACTAGACAGTTTAAACAAGAGCTGTCAGGAAGC